TCATTCCACTCCTCCTTCTCCTCCTCATCTTCCCCCCCTTACCCTCTCTCCTATCCCTCTCTTCCTCTCTTTCTTCTCTCCTCTGTTTCCCACTCTTCCTCTCATTCACTTGGTGCATTTCAGCTTCTGAGCAAACTCCATTCTATGTTGATGGAACTTTTTTCTCTTTTTTGTAATAATTATGAACCGGCCATTTCTGTAAAGTTCTGTCAATCTACTCAGTAAAAGCCAAAATCAAAGTTTCACTCTTTCCCATTTCAAGCACAAAGTTCAGAAGCGGCTCTTTATTGCTGGAGCTTTTCAAAGAGGCGCTGGATGGGTATCGGTTTGAGGTTGGCGTAGGGCAGTATTTCTCAATCTTGGCAACTTGGAAGGTGGGTGAACTTTGATTCCCAGAATTCTCCTGCCAGCGTTCACCCACCTTCAAGCTGCTACAGTTGAGAAAGCTTGCTATAGGGCAGGGACGGCTAAACGTTTTGTCGTTGCCTGCCGAAAGAGTGTGCACATGCACACAATAGCGGCTATTGTGTGCATGCCTGTACCCATAATGCACAACCTCCCTGTGTGTACGACCCCCTCGTGCTCCCCCTTGTGCATGCGCATGCTCCCCCTGCACTCCCCCCATGCATGTGCGCGACACCTCCCCACGCCCAGTTGTTATTGTTGCGTGCCGAGAGCCCGTGCTTGTGTCCTCACCCACAATGCACAACCACCCTGTGTGCCCCCCCCTGCACGCACGATCCCCTTGCGTTCCCTCCCCCCATGCATACGCACTCTTCCCCGCCCGGTCCCCTCCCGCGCATGCGCATGACATCCCCTCCCCAGTTTTGGTTCCTAGAGGCCTCCCTGCAGCCGGGAGGGCGCTCACATGTGCAGTGGAGCTGAGCTAGGGGGCGACGGCTCGCGTGCCCGCGGAGAGGGTTTCTCCGTGCCACAGGTTCCCCATCTCGGCTATAGGGGGTTGAACTTGATGACTTCTTAGGTTGCTCCTGTGATTCTATGAAATCTGGAGGAAACCACGTGGAGGTAGCATCCTGTTTATAATTGGGAATAAATCCAAAATTGAACGATAGAGTGTCTGTATTTTGCACCCTCCCCAAACAGAGCAGTTTATACCTAATCCAATAGTTTGTCCGAGCAGGAATTTTTCTAGCCCGCTTTGAAAGTATTGCAGAGATACGGATGGTTTTGCATCCAAAGTGCCATTGGGCATTCAAGGAACCCAAAACAGCCCCTTTTGTAAAGATCCTCACATTTTTTGTAAAAGTTTTATTTTTAAAAAATGTACTCTTTGATTCTAGCCGATGGCTTTTCGACTTTAAACACACTGCAGAGTTAATCCTGCTTTTAGAAGATCCCTTTTTAGGAGGGAAGTTAATCCCATGCCAAGGTTGTGCAACACCCCACTATAAACACCCCCAAAGCAATATAGGACCCCAGGCGAAATAGGTTATTTAAATTCCTTTCCTGTATTGTTAAATGAAATTCCAAGGAAAATATGTCCTTGACTGACAACAGTTCAAAGTTACAAGGGCAGTGAAAAAAGACCCCTTTTCACACTCGCGATGACGTAGCCTCCTCTTGGTCGTCGGGGAACAAATTTGAACACTTGGCAACCAACTCGTAGTTATGACGGTTGCAGTATCCCAGGACCATGCGACTTTCTGACAAGCAAAGTCAGTGGGGAAGCCAGATTCACTTAACAACCTTGTGACTAACTTAACATCTGCAATGATTCCCTTAACACCGGTGGCAAGAAAGGTCGCAAAATGGGGCAAAACTCACTTAACAATTATTGCACTTACCAACAGAAATGTTGGGCTCTATTGTTGGCCATAAGTCGAGGACTACCTGCAGTCAATATGGTAACATACTCAATTTTCTTGTATTTGTCTGATTAAAAATCAGAACAGTAGTAATTTGTCTGGAATTATTCCCAAAGTGGTGGAGATCCATATTCAACTCCAAAGCCTGAGCTTAAGAACTTGTAGTTCACTAGAAGTCTGACTTATATCCATCCATCCATCCATCCAGCTGTGTGTGTGTGTGTGTGTGTGTTTTCCAGCTTAACTCTGGAACACCTCGAGCAATTTCAACCAAATTTGGCACACAGATGACTTACTCTCTGGAGAAAATTACTGTGGGGGGTAAGAAACCCCTAACATCCCTCAGGGTGTGTGTTCTGTTAAGCTGCAGCCTGTTATGCCTTAAAATGGCTTCTACTGTACTGCCATAAACTGACTTCTACTGTACAGCGCAGTGGAGTTGCCATGGTAACAGCTTCACAGTACTGCACAAGGGGGCTCCTGGTAAGGGGGAAAAAAATCTAACATTAGAAATTATGTTTGGTCCAGACATTTTCCCCCTATAAATAAAAACTTGGGCAACTCAGGGTTATCAGTTAGTTCCTTTAAAAAAAAAATGTATTGCCCCATTCAACCTTAACCACTTCAAGACCTGTGGAACTTCAACTCCCAGAATTCCCTAGTCAGCCTTTTATTGGCTGGGGAATTCTGGGAATTGAAGTCCCCAGTTGCCAAAGCCGAGCAATTTGTTTGCACACGTTCGTGGTTTATGCAAACGATGCCCCATCACTTCTGCAAGTTATTGGAACCATTAATCACAAACTACACACTTTTTTCTCCCTCCCCCCCTCCGCATTTCCTTTGTTCCATTTTAGGTTCGCCGATGACTCCAAACTCAGGTTAATTCAGGTCTG